ATCGTATACCCTCACAAATGGATGGGGATCCTTTTTGTGTACACTGCCATGGGACATGACATAGCTCTCGAGATTGTCATCATGGAATTACCGCTCGTACCCCTCCGAGGATGCTTACCGTCCCGGCCAACACCTCCAGCACCATACGGCATCTTTCTTCTTGCGCCATCTTCAATCTTGATAGAGGCCGTCCATCTGTGCAGGAGCTCCGAGAGATGCTGGCCTACCGCTTCAATCTTAGGACATGGCCCCCTCAACAAGGAGGCGCGGCAGGGAACAGCTTCATGGTACAGTTTCCATCCGATGAAGTTCTTGCCCAAGCTATTGAACTCGGTTTGATAGATATGGGCACATTTAAGGGCAGATTTCGCCGTTGGAAAGAGGATCTGAGGCTAACAACGTTGCCTCAACCCTTTCTAGTATGGATTCGCCTATTCAATCTCCCATACCACCTCTGGAATTTTGAATTTCTTCAATCTCTGCTCATTGGTATCGGTGAATGTGTCATGTGCTCCAGGGACGTCATAACACATTCTAACTTCAAAGACTGTAGAGTTCTACTCAAGGTTAGGGATTTATCTGAAATTCCTAAGAGGCTTAGGTTCCGTTACATCTTGCCGGTGGACGGTAACGCCAGGGAAGGATACGCCATCACGCATGTCCAATGCAGGGGGAATTTGGAGAGGGCTCAGGAATCCACACGACTCAACTTAGGGCCCCAGCGTGCGCAGCCCTTTAGGACCGACCCCGAGTTAATTGAGGTTAGTTGGGGTGGCGTCCACATGACGGTCGAGAGAGACCAATGGCAGCTGTTTCTCCGTAACCAAGGGGTCGGGGGTGCCAATTCTCCGAGGTCTCTCCCTACCGGCAATGTTCCTCTCCCTTTACACCCCGTCGTCTCCCACAGTGGCTCAGCGGAATCCAGTTCTCCTTCCTCAAAGCGCAGTAAGTTAGGACCTTCGAAAAGGAAGGCGAGTGACAGCAAAAAGGGTTTATTAGACCCAAACCGATCCAGCGAGGGCAGCAACAAATGAAGACCTGGCATCATTGCATGTTAGTTCTTGTTAAATTTTGCTTATCCAAAAAACAGTTTGTTACAAATCTTAACCCAAATAGTGTTAGTTCTTATATATTAGTATAACTAATGTTGTGTTAGTTCCAATCTGCACCCTTTTAGTTATATATTATAACATGTTAGTTCTATTCTGTAGAGTGTTAGTTCTATTCTGCACAGTGTTAGTTCTATTCTATAGAGTGTTAGTTCTAATCTGCACAGTGTTAGTTTTATTCTGTAGAGTGTTAGTTCTAATCTGCACAGTGTTAGTTCTATTCTGTAGAGTGTTAGTTCTATTCTGTAGAGTGTTAGTTCTAATCTACACAGTGTTAGTTCTATTCTGTAGAGTGTTAGTTCTATTCTGTAGAGTGTTAGTTCTATCTGCACCCATTTAAGTTCTATCATAGGTCATGTTAGTTCTATCATAATTCATGTCGTACCACGTACTAATTTACACCATGTTAGTTCTAGATGCAGCCATATTTTAACGTTAGATCTAATTTATACAAAGTTAGTTCTAGTTTATACCAAGTTAGTTTATTTTATACCACGTTAGATCTAATTTATACAAAGTTAGTTCTAGTTTATACCAAGTTAGTTTATTTTATACCACGTTAGATCTAATTTATACAAAGTTAGTTCTAGTTTATACCAAGTTAGTTTATTTTATACCACGTTATAAACCTAATTTATACCACGTTAGATCTAATTTATACCAAGTTAGTTCTAATTTATACAACGTTAGTTTATTTTATACCACGTTATAAACCTAATTTATACCATGTTATATCTAATTTATACCACGTTAGATCTAATTTATATCAAGTTATAAACCTAATTTATACCACGTTATATCTCATTTATACCGAGTTTTAAACGTAATTTATACCACGATATATCTCATTTATACCACGTTAGATCTAATTTACTAATTTATACCAAGTTAGTTCTATTTTTTACAACGTTATAAACCTAATTTATACCACGTTATATCTCATTTATACCAAGTTAGTTCTAATCTACACCATGTTATTTCTAATTTATACCAAGTTAGTTCTATTCTGTAGAGTGTTAGTTCTGTTCCGTAGAGTATTAGTTCTAATCTGCACAGTGTTAGTTCTGTTCTGTAGAGTGTTAGTTCTAATCTGCACAGTGTTAGTTCTATTCTGTAGAGCGTTAGTTCTAATCTGCACAGTGTTAGTTCTATTATGTAGAGTGTTAGTTCTAATCTGCACAGTGTTAGTTCTATTCTGTAGAGTGTTAGTTCTATTCTGCACAGTGTTAGTTCTATTCTGCACAGTGTTAGTTCTATTCTGTAGCGTGTGATGGCTTGTTAGCTCTATTTTATTACACGTTATATCTAATTTATACCACGTTATATCTAATTTATGTTAGTTCTAATTTATACCACGTTATAAACCTAATTTATACCACGTTAGATCTAATTTATACGAAGTTAGTTCTAGTTTATACCAAGTTAGTTTATTTTATACCACGTTATAAATCTAATTTATACCACGTTAGATCTAATTTATACCAAGTTAGTTCTAATTTATACAACATTAGTTTATTTTATGCCACGTTATAAACCTAATTTATACCACGTTATATCTAATTTATACCACGTTAGATCTTATTTATACCAAGTTATAAACCTAATTTATATCACGTTATATCTCATTTATACCAAGTTTTAAACGTAATTTATATCACGATATATCTCATTTATACCACGTTAGATCTAATTTACTAATTTATACCAAGTTAGTTCTATTTTTTACAACGTTATAAACCTAATTTATACCACGTTATATCTCATTTATACCAAGTTATTTACAACGTTATAAACCTAATTTATACCACGTTATATCTCATTTATACCAAGTTAGTTCTAATCTACACTATGTTATTTCTAATTTATACCAAGTTAGTTCTATTCTTTAGAGTGTTAGTTCTATTCTGCAGTGTTAGTTCTGTTCCGTAGAGTGTTAGTTCTAATCTGCACAGTGTTAGTTCTGTTCTGTAGAGTGTTAGTTCTAATCTGCATAGTGTTAGTTCTATTCTGTAGAGTGTTAGTTCTAATCTGCACAGTGTTAGTTCTGTTCTGTAGAGTGTTAGTTCTAATCTGCACAGTGTTAGTTCTATTCTGTAGAGTGTTAGTTCTAATCTGCACAGTGTTAGTTCTACTCTGTAGCGTGTTAGTTCTAATCTTCACAGTGTTAGTTCTATTCTGTAACCTATTCCGATCCAAGTCAGTTCTGCTTTATTACATGTTAGTACTATCTGGTACCAAGTTAGTTCTATTCTTTGGCTTGTTACTCCTAGCCCCTCGAGCGCATCGAATAACTGAGATGTTAGTTCTATTCTTTGTGCGTGTTAGGCCTAATATGACAGTTGTTTTGTTACTTACAACTTTTTATCTAGTGTAAGTTGATGTTAGTTCCCGATTAACAAGAATAAACATTCAATCGGAAAAAAACAAAATATTTGTTGCATACTGGAACGAAAACACTTCAACATATCAAACACTTAGTCAGCTATAGATTCATTACATGTTTTACGGTTATGACCTTCCATATGACATCGAGAACATTTTACTGGCCGCGTGTAAACAGTTCTGTTGTTGATACGCCTGGTTTTATTTCTCCCTTTCCTTTTTGTTGTAAGTGGAGGTAGGATCTGTATCTCATCCCTTGGCACGATGCGCTTCTCAAAGTCAGGGATAGGGTAGAGGATTGGCTCGTAGCTTTTTTTAAAGGCTTCAACCGTCATAAATCAGTCACAGAACTGATAGACATCCCTTTTCATAAACATAATGGATGCGCATGCATGTTTGCAAGGGACACGGGTTACATCCCACCCACGGCAAGTGCATGTTTTATTGTCTAGATCCACTTGACAAGATCTATGAGATTGTACCTCAAATAATCCTGTGTGGGACTGACGAACCTCCAATGGACGGCCATTTTCCATGTTCTCTTTGAGAGCAAGTTCAGCTTTGGGGCAAAGAAATTGATTCCAGCTTTCAGCAATGGTTCGTCGCTCATTCATACAAACCATAATCTGTTTACGTATGTGCTCTACCAGTTGAAGTATCCGTAGTAGCCTAGCCTCATGTATCCATTTGTTGAATGACTCTGCAACATTTGATGTAACGTGATCATATCTGAAACATAATAGGGAATTCGTCAAGCGGCTTATAATAGTCATGTAATGAAATAGCTTATAACTTACCTAACTCCAGGGAAAAACGCATTGGCCCAGTTTTCTGGAGCGTAGTTCATCACAATATTGTAAGTTCTTTCGTCAACCAGTCTAATGTTGTCCATGTAATCGTTCCATTCTGCTCTAGTATATTTGTATCAGGCAGATTACAATAGATTACCCAAGATCTGAGTATCTTTTGATTTGAATCCCAAATCCTTCAACTTTGTCCTGAAGTTCTCAACTAGATGCAACACACATCGAGAGTGTATAGAATCTGGAAAAAATCCTCTAACTACTTCTCTGATCCCCTTATCCGCATCTGAAATTATCACTAGCTTGTGTGGAGGGTTGTATGGATCTGGCCTTTCATAGAGAATAGACCACAAACCTACAAAGAGTTGTGGTTACCATACACGAATTATAGAGTTAGGAATGAATGAGCTAGAATTATCATAACCTGCAATAGAACTAACATAGCTAGGGATAGAACTAACCTTGTAAGAACCACTTCCAGTTAACGTTATTTTCCTGATCGCATATACAGTACGCCAATGGAAATATCCCCTGATTTCCATCATATGCTACGGCGCTTAGGAGTATGCCTTTGAATCGATCTTTAAGAAAGGTACCATCCAAAAATAAGAGTGGTCTACAGCCATATAAAAAACCATTTATGCAGGCGGCGTAGCATATGAATAACCTTGTAAACCTCCCCTCATGTTGTTCAACATGAATATAGCTACCTGGGTTTGTCTTCTTGACCTCTTCTACATACCTAGAAAATTAAAGATTAAGCATTAGTGCCAACATTGAAAAATTAGTATAATCAATGTCACATAAAGGAAATTAGTTTGTCTTTTGTTAGATATCAACTTCTATTTACCATCGTAATTGATCGTAGGACTCACGTGCATCACCATATAATTTCTCTTGTGCTCTTTCTTTACCCCACCAAATCTTACTATAATCGACCCTAATCTCATACGAGCTTAGAAACTCCTTTTGAACGTCAATAGGCCGTATATCCGGTCGAACCTTTAACGTGGGTTGTAATTAGGTAGCAATGAATCGCCTTGAGGCTCTAGATTGACCATCATTATTGCCATGCTGCCTACAACTGTGATTGTCCACAAACCTTTTGATTTCAAGTCTATTATCATTTTTTGGTGAAGAGACAAATAACATCCACGGACAATTTTTGGCTTCCTTAAACCGACAAAACACTCAAATACGCTTCGGTTCATTCTTCCCAAACTCGTATTCGATTTTTTTTTACCATGGAGTAGTATAGCAAGGCCAATCTTAACTCCTTCGCACTTTCAAATCGTTGTCCCTCACCGGTTAAAGCTGTGTGCCACCAAGCAGGAATCCTCTCTGATCTGCTAATCATGTCATCAATCGTCATGACATCATCTCCGGAAGGATTGTCATTGGGATTCTTATCTGGAACACTTGTGGTCAACAACGCCGACGGGCCACAGTCTACACTTTTTGATTTCAAACTGCACAAATAATAGAAGTATCAACAGATAATAGCAAAAGCTAAAAAGCAAAAACGACAATTGCTTGCTGTTAGAATCAATTAGAACTAAAAGAACTAACAATATAACCATTAGAGCTAACAGTGCATTGATTAGAACTGACATAATAGCTATTAGAACAAACAATATAGCCATTAAAGGTTAGTTCTAATTTAACGAAGTTATTTCTATTTTATAACAAGCTATTTCAAAATTATAACATGTTAGTTCTATTCTGTAGAGTGTTAGTTCTAATCTGCACAGTGTTAGTTCTATTCTGTAGAGTGTTAGTTCTAATCTGCACAGTGTTAGTTCTATTCTGTAGAGTGTTAGTTCTAATCTGCACAGTGTTAGTTCTATTCTGTAGAGTGTTAGTTCTAATCTGCACAGTGTTAGTTCTATTCTGTAGAGTGTTAGTTCTAATCTGCACAGTGTTAGTTCTATTCTGTAGAGTGTTAGTTCTAATCTGCACAGTGTTAGTTCTATTCTGTAGAGTGTTAGTTCTAATCTGCACAGTGTTAGTTCTATTCTGTAGAGTGTTAGTTCTAATCTGCACAGTGTTAGTTCTATTCTGTAGAGTGTTAGTTCTAATCTGCACAGTGTTAGTTCTATTCTGTAGAGTGTTAGTTCTAATCTGCACAGTGTTAGTTCTATTCTGTAGCGTGTTAGTTCTAATAATATGCACAGTGTTAGTTCTAATCTGTAGTGTGTTAGTGTCAGTTCTAACTGATGGCTTGTTAGTTCTATTTTATACCTACATTGTCTAATTTATACCACGTTATATCTAATTTATAACAATTAGGACTAACAATATGGGAACTATAGTGGAACCAGCAATAACTCTAGTAGAACTAACAAAATAGCGATTAGAACTGACAAATAAAACATTAGAACTCTAGTATGGAGCATAACAAAGAACTGCTTAATGACAAATAAAACATTAGAACTGAAGTCCAGTTAAACCTAGTATAGAACTAACAAGAAGACGATTAGAACTTAAGTTAATTGATTTTACAGTTAACCTACATGTCTTGTCGGACTTGCTCGTTTTCCTGTTTATTCGAAGAATCATCTCCTTCTTTAAAAGCTTGCACGTGAACCTCTTTCAGTCCAAGATTGTGGCAATGCTCCACCATAGACGTCAGATCACCATCGTTCTCAATGAGAAATTTTAAGCTTCCAACTGTTTGATCTTCATATGCCAAAATTAATGACTCGTATGGAAGATCTAACCTCTCTGCCGCATCAAACTTGAGATCCAAGATGGTGGTTGAAGAATTAATCTTCAAGAATACCGCTTTATACTGCGAAGAGACAATGCAGATGATGTTATTTTTAGCCATTTTGAAGGGATAGTAAGAGTAATGGAGAGAGTTATGGAGAGAATTTTGGTCTGAGGAGGAGGACTGAAGGGATAGTAAGAGTAATGGAGAGAGTTATGGAGAGAATTTTGGTCTGAGGAGGAGGAGTAATGGAGAACTAACTAGTTATTGCTCATGATGGAGTAAAAAAAGGGGGAAATTTCCCTCCATTTTCCCCATCATATCGCATTAATGAGAAGTGACTTCTGTTGTTCGGGACCAGGACTCGTCTGGGGAAGAAAGAGAAGGACAATTTCGGTTTTTTTTGCAAAATACGATCTGCTTTTAGTATAAAGCTGACGTGGAGGGGGCTTAAAACATTAAAGCTCATTTTTTAGGGCTATTCCACATGAGGCAAAGTACAGGGGGACTAGTCATACGAAGTTTCCACTTTTGGGGCCTGGACACATTTTCCCCTTCTTTATAAGGTTAGCTTAAAATATTTTTTAACTGCAATTACCATGGAAGTTAGAAAATGGTGGAGCTCCCTTTGTTTCTTCTATTTGCTGTTGTTTTGCATTCGGCTAATATATAGTCTATTTGTACAAATTCCAAATCATTGTCCCCAGCGCAAAAATGCAACCATCTACTTATGATGCCACGTTAGGTTATGTAAATAATCAATCATATGCATCTGAACTTGCAACAAATTGTTTGACTACTCGTATCAATATAATATGGTAGGCTCCACTTGCACTGCCCTGATATTTGCAAGTATTTATCTTCTTTTGTTTTAACCAGGTTCAGAACCCAGAAGCCTTGTTCATTCTGCTACAAGGAAATTATATTTCTATGTGAGAGGGATTACACTTCAGCCTGAAATTTTAGGTCAAATTTTTTTATTCTTTTTCCCCCGCATACTGGTGGTTAAAACTCTGGACCTTTAACAACCACCTCGGGTTTCCTACATGTTTTTCCCCTGCATACATCTTTTTCTTTTCCCCCTGCATACTGGTTAAAGAATTAGAGCGTTGTAGATGTACGAAGTACAGTCAAATCCATACTTTTACAAATATCTATAATACTTTCATCAACACTAACTATACTTTCAGAAATACTTACTATACTTTCGCAAGTAACTGTTATACATTTGGAAATACCTGCTATACTTTCACAACTGCTATACTTTCACAAGTACATGCTATACTTTCACAAATAGCTGTTATACTTTTCATAAATACACACTATTAAATATCTACTGTACTTTCCAAAAAATGTGCTATACTTCCGAAATAACCAGCTATACTTTCAAAAATAGTTGTACTGTCACAAATAGCTATCATACTTTCCCAAACACATGATATACTCTCATAAATAACTGTTATACTTTCAAAAATAGCTGCCGTACTTTCACAAATAGCTGTTATACTTTCACAAATAGCTACTATACTTTCTCATATCTGCTATACTTTCACAAGTAGTTGATAATACTTTTAAAAATATCTACTATACTTTAAAACTACTTGCTATAGTTTCAAATACACGTCACCGCTATACTTTTAAATACACATTGCATACCCATCACATCCAGCCACAGAAATAACATCACATACACATCTAATCCAATTTCATTGTGCGCACAAAATATGATCAAAACTGCGAAATATACGAAAACTTTGTATGTGAGAAGCTATATAAACAAAAATACACATAAATTCTTTCAACACATCAATCCTTCTAGTCCTACACTTCATATCTTCTTCCAATCCTTCTAGTCCTACTCTTCCTATCCTCTTCCGTTTCTGCTTGTGTCTTGAAAAAAGCACATGTTAATAAATTGTCTGAAGATCAATTCTACTAAAACTTGTATTTATAGCAGCTCCTCCCATCGGAAGCTCCTTCAGCCGAGAAGGAAAAAAAAGAAGAAATTTTCAAATCAGACTCAAACCAAATTTTTATTTTAAAAACCGACCCTATTCACTTTTAATTACAAAAATCGACCCGTTTTCTGGCCACGTCAGCACCGTGGCCAGAAAGTTGGTCGATTTTTTAAAACGTTATCCTAATTAGTCGGGGTTGACAACCTCGACTATTTAGGACACCGTCGACAATTTGCTAGTTAAATTAGTCAAGATTGACAACCCGACTAATTTAACACATGTTTAAATTAGTCGGGGTTGGGAACCACGACTATACTAACTAGCAAATTGTCGACTGTGTTCTAAATAGTCGGGGTTGCCAACCCCGACTAATTAGGATAACGTTAAAAAAAAATCGACCCGCTTTCTGGTCACGGTGCTGACGTGGCCAAAAAACGGGTTGATTTTTATAATTAAAAGTGAATAGGGTCAGTTTTTAAAATAAAAATTTGGTTTGAGTATGTTTTGAAAATTTCTTAAAAAAAAAAATCACAAGTTACTGTCAGACTTCATTACTTTGTTGGATTATAAACAGCAGTCCTCTTGGGTATGCCCTGAAATTAAAGCCATTGTCAGGATAATCATGAGAAAGCAACTCCATTTTGATTCTAAGTAATGTGAAATCATTGTAAATATGCTGGATGCAGAAATTATCAATAGAAGTATTTAGATTTATAGTAGCCATAAGATGCCAAATTAAACTGTTCCATGCAAAGCTCGGAGTATAAAAAGACTATAATAAGTTTCCAAGGTAATAAGTTTCCAAGGTAATTACTCAAGTGAGTAAATTAACTTAATCTCATACCACAAATTACACTAAAATGAGACCATTGTAAACTTCAAATACAAGATATGTGCAGCTACGGAGAGACAATTGAGTAAATAAGGGAAATCTGCATCTCCTTGCAACATCCATCGTAGGATCCCATGTAAGAATACGAAAGGAATCATCCTACAGTTAGTGGAACTTAATATGAAGCATCTAATTTCTGGCATGTGCCTTTATTTTTGGATTGGCCCTATTATGAACATGAGGATGTGATTGTCTAGTGCAAATCAACATTTGAATCACCAGTGCACGGGCTTATAAAATAAGTTATGACAATAAATTTTTTTAAAGAATGCATGTGACAAAAACAAGGAGGGGGCGGGGGCAGCGATCAATGTGTAGCATCCCATCACACAAAGAGTCGGCACTTTGCCACGCAACACAAGATAGGAAATATGCCCTTATGAATTCAAGAAAGGATCTCCACGAAGCAATCAATTACTAAATGCCACGAAGCAATCAATTACTACATGCCTAAACACAAACCTTGAGACTGCAGCATCTACAGAAACTTTTGGTGGCCCCCCCTCTCACTGACAAAACATACCACCTCATCAGCCCCTATATCAATTTAAATTTCAAAATCCTCTCTCTCTCTACGCTATAAGAGCATCTCCAACAGCCTCTATCTCATGTCATAGACTAAATATAAGGAGTAGGATGAGGAAATGTTACTCCAACATGCTCTATATGTTGGAGACTAAATATAGGGAATATGATTTGGTATTCCAAATCAAGAATAACAAATTGACTCACTATATTTAGTCTCAACATGGAGAGTATTGTTGGAGTAACTTTTTCCCCCTCCTCTTTATATTTAATCTAGGACATGAGAAAGTGAGCCATTTGGGGAGCATTGTTGGAGCACTTACTTCTTATTTGGCTTCCTATTTCTTAGGATGAAAGATTTGCTCCTCAAATATAGGAAAAATCTAAGATCACTCTTGGAGATGCTCTAACTCTTCTTCTTCGTTCTCCTCTCTTTTCCTTCAATCAAAGTTGCTATATGGACACAAAACCAAAGAAGGAGAATATGAAAAGAATACATTCAAATTTCTCTAAGAAAAATGCCTTAGGGGCCCAAAAACATGAGACCCTACATGGGGGTGAAGTGTCGGCTCTCTGTCCTATGATGCACTGTTCATGAATAGTGCATCATGAGACAGGGAGCCGATAACTCACATGTCCCATGTAAGGTTCCATGTTTTTGGGTCCCTGTAGCACCACTCAAATCAAAGATGGATAAAATATGAAAAGAACACATTCCAATTTCTCTAAACTCCTCTTTCTCCTTCCCCATTGTAATTCGAAAGAAAATAGGGCTAGTAGAAGATAGGGCTAACAGTGGAAGAGTTAATTAAGAAAAAAGGACTGTGGAGTGTATTTTCCATCTGTTCGATTGGAACAATATGTGTTAGAGAAGAAGAAAAGGTTGTCTTTTAAGTAACAAGCTTATGTTTAGACCTGTCCATCCGGTCCGGTCCGGCCCGGAAATCCCGGCCCAGGCCGGGCAAAACCGGAGACCGGACCCGGGCCCGACCGGGCCGGGTTCCGGACCGGCCCGGTTTATTATTATTTTTTATTTTTTTTGATCAAAATTTTTAAATTTTATTTAAATTTTAAATTTTACAAAAAAAGACAAAAAAATTAATAAAAACAATAATTTTATTAATCATTTAAAATAACATAAATTACAAATAAAAAATTATAAAAATAAATTCTTTATTAATAATTAATTAATTTTTATAAATTACAAGTATAAATTTATTTTGGAATTCATCGCATCACAATAGATAAGTACATCCCAACTAGGTTTTTTTAAATTTCTTTTCATTTCTTTTTTTTATTAAAAAATGCTAAAAAATAGTTTAATATTATTATATTTTATATAATTATGTATTAGCATATACTTACAAATTATTATGTAACTATATATTATATATACATATATTATATGTAAATATATTGTATATATTTATAAGTTATAACTTGAGAGAGAAAGAATCGCATAAGTAGCCGTTGCCCGTTGGGCCAATGGGGAAGAAGTAGCCGTTGTGATATACTATACTTATATATACTTATATACTAAGAGAGAAAGTATACACACACACATATATAAAAGAGTATACTTATATAATAGGGAGTATACATATATAAGAGAGAGTATACTTATATATACATATATACTAAGAGAGAGAGTATATTAGTATATATATATACACATATATTATACATATATAAGAGAGTGTATACTTATATAAGAGAGAGAATACATATATAAGAGAGAGTATACT